CAGAGTGGACAATGAAGAAACTCTAATTCAGTAATATATGCCTTACCTCTCTATAATCCAAATGTTTACGAGTAACTCCTCAAACAGTTTAAGGTATCAATTTCATTCTCAACATTTGTATATAAACATTTATAATTAGCTAGAGCTAGTGCACTGGGTTGCTCTGTTTTTTTATTTGTAATTTAATAATTTGATACAGTTTGGAACAAAGATTATTTGTTGTGATTACAAAGTTGCTTAAACAATTAATTGTGAACTTTTATTCTACTTTTGCTATCATCTCTTGTTCTTTATAGTTGATTTTCAGGTTGATACAATTTTGTAATGTAATTGATTGGAACCCTCATATGGGTTAGTCAAAGTTTTCCCATTTTTGTGATTTCTTTCTTGCTTTTTGGTATTAATTGTAATTCTATGTTCTTAAACTGGTTTGGCAATTGAAATTCTCCAATCCCATGATTGATTGTTTGGTGTTTATTGACATTGGTACTTAAAAAGGCATGTATAATATAGTTTTCTTTGGGGTATTCACTTCTAAGTCTTGATTTTGAGTGGCTATACTGAATGAATTCATGGGGAATGTTTTTTAGGAAGAGACCGAGTCAGTTTGTGAGACAAGAGACTTATTTAGTGACTCATTCAGCGATGAGCTTGAGGGCGAGAAACTATCAAGATGGGATGGATGTTCCTCTAAGGATGGAGTGTTTGAGCAAGAGATCTTTTGGCATCTGAATGAGAGACTGGGTTACCTTTATTTTCAGTATTTTAAGAGATCAGCTCCTTATGAAAGAGTTCCTTTCATGGATAAAGTACTCTTTTATATGTTTATTTTTCTATACAAAGTAATTAACTTATTTAGGTTCTTCACATTCATAACATTTGCTCTATTTTTACAAATAGTTCCATTTCAAAATTCTGATTAATGAAAGAACTAGAAACACTATGATGAAACAAAGATTGGGCTGGGATTGATAGCATTTGGCATACTGTTCTCATTCTCTCATTATAATTTTATTGCTCACTTTCTTCCATTATTGAGCATTTTCCGTTTAGCTTACTGTGTATTTGATGCCTGCTTAACGTAGTGCTATTTTGGTAATACTGAATCAGATCTATTCTCAGCAAGGGTGACAATGACCATGCGACCGAAGTCCTTGATGCAGTTCTTCACGAAATGTAGCAATTTCAAAGTTGGTTTGTTCTATGTTTCTCCATTCAGTGTGTATACTCATCTTCCATTTTTATTTGCCTTGTGATGATTGTACAAGGAACTATTTCTTTCGGTGTGGGCTTTTTCTTGGTTGTTACAGGATGGGCTATATGGGAATGATTTTGGAGGCATATGGGTTCATTGTTCTTTTTATGTTCATTGGATTTTCCTTCAATGATTTTATGTCCTCTGCTCATATTACTTAGGGGTTGTTTGGGGTGCCCTAAATAAGTACACTTTTTGTCTTTTTGGACTAAAAAATTGAGGAAAAAAATATGGATGTTTGGGTTAACTTTTTGACTTTTTATGAAAAAATGTGTATTAAAAAATTGTATAAATTAGTATGTAGGGAAAAATTAGAATTGGGAGTTGTGCAACCGTAATTTTTGACTTTTGGTGAATAGTGATAACTTTTTAACTTTTTGAGTAATTTTTTAACTTTTTGACTTTTTATGGACTTGCCAAACTTGGCCTTAATATTAGTAGCTGATAGGGTATTTTGTGTAGTAAATTTTGGCTAACACTATCAGTTTTTGTGCAGAAGACACCTATTATTGAGTGGGTATTCCAACAACCATTTGTTAGATCGGTACGTTTATCTGGCAATTCAATATAATGTTTTTTTAGAGAGAATTTTCATGGATTTTTGCTACTTATGTTCTTTCATAGAAGCCACTTTTGTTGGTTTGTTGTCCACATAATTTATATTGAGAACTGAAATGTAGTTTGGGAATCATAGGGTGCATTTTGTATAATTGGAACCTTTTCTTTTTCCTGGTCATGAACATATAATAGTCAAAATAATAAGGCAGCCCCACTTAATCAAGATATTACATCATGTTGCTGTATTCAGTGAATGTCCTTTCTCATCATCTGTTTGGATGAAGTAGATTCTTTTGCGAATATAGTGTTTCCCTCACAATAAAATGGAATAATTATAAATAAGTGCAACATTCTCAAATCAATAAGTAGAAAATCTATACGTATTCTAAATTCTGACAATTGGAAATGATATAAAGTATTGACAATAGGAAATGATGTAAAGTATTTTTGATTTTTAAAGCTACTTGCTCCCATTGTTTTTTGCTCTTCATTGTCATTTATGTTTAATTATATATAATTATATATTTGTTTACAATATGGAAAAAAAAATTGGTTTGTACAATTTGTGTTTGTTCCTGAAACTGATGCTATAACTGTGATGCAAATTGACAAAATTATTTGCTCATCTATGCAGCATCAAAGCTCTATACTATTATTATTAAATCACAATTTGATGAGCTCCCTATTCCTCAATTCATGGTTTACGTGACATGCATGTATATGTTTGTGTGGGGATATATTTTCTGAATACCAACACGTGGCATGGTGACGCCGACGTGTCAGCCGAGGTGCCACGTGTCGTCATAGTTAAGCCGAGATGATCTCAGAGTTGCCGAGGTTATCCCCGAAGATATCGGAATCCGAGATAAGCAGATAAGGGACAAGAGTCCTAAGACAAAGAGGGGACTTAACCAAGATAAGGATAAAGCTCTTAGGGAGTTTATCTTTATCTCTTAAAGAGTCCAAAGTAAGCACTAAATTGGAGTTCATAGAAGTCATACTTCTAGTGGGACTTGGATTTAGTATATTATAAAAGAGAGGCACCCCCGTGGGTCTAAGGTATGCAATTTATGTTTTGAGTATTAAATTTTGCACTTGATTATCTTTGAGAGATATACTGACTTGATCGTCGGAGTGCCCCCGGGTGGAAGAACCACCGCCGGAGCCTTTTCTTTTTGTTTCAGGTTGCTGAAGCCATCTATTCTGCCTGTGCTCTCCAGTTGATCACTAAGCAGGCAGTGTGGTCAGATTTTCACCCACACAGTTTGTATATATATATTTGCGTGTATGTGGTGGAGGGAGGCAATTTTTAATTTTTTAGGTTTGCCAATGTTAGGGTCTTGGTGTTTGTTTGTATGGAAGAACTTTGTACACCATGTGTTTGACGATATGTTCATAAGAAAACTATTAGCTTGCTTATTTTCATTTTTCAGAAAACACTTTTCAGAAAATTCTACTTTCTTATTTTTTGTGTTTTTTTTAATTTTTACTGAATTTTTTTAATATTTTAAGCAATTTTTTTACTTTTTAGACACACCTAACATAAATACACTTAAAAAGTAAAAAAATTGTAAAAAAAAAATGTTTTAAAAATTTACTAAATACCAAAAATATAAAAAAAAAAATACAAGAATTTAGTACATTTTTTATATTTTTATGTATTTATTAATTTTTTAAAATATTTTTTCACAATTTTTTTGCTTTTTAGATACATCTAACTAAGGTGCATCTAAAAAAGTAAAAAAAAATGTTTAAAATTTAAAAAATATTCACTAAAAACAAAAGAATACGAAAATCAAGAAACTCAGTTTTTAAAAAACTTAATCCAAAAAACTCAAACCAAACACACTGATTATGTTTTAAGAATAATCAGTTCATCATTTCCATTTTGATTCATGATTTAATCATATTCATGTTATTTCATTTTGCTTGCATGGTCACGGATTCTATTTTTGTGAAGCTATTTCATTCCTTCTGAAGCTAACAAACAAAAAATTTAGACATTTTTTTTGAAACCAACAAATATAAAATTTTGACATATTTTTCAGGTTTAATTTGAAATGGAATAATGGAATTCACTACTTTTAAGGCAAACTTGTTTTAATAATTACTTCATTTTTTATTATATGATTATTCAATCTATATTTTTTTTGGTCCCCTTTTTCTTGCTTCTAGGACTCCTTGGAATTTGCTTATGTTGTGTTTGGTTGAGGGATTTGAGGAGGGATTTGGAAAGGGAAATGGAAAAGGTAGGTGAAATATGAATAAAACATTCCTAAATTTCACATAGTTTCACACACCTTTTCCCTTTCCCTTTCCAAATCCCTCCCCAAATCCTCCAACCAAACATACCATTAGGGTTTAGGGTTTTGCTTGTAGTTTCGATTCATAAAATAAAATTTATAGAATTTAATAATAATTGGTCATGTTTTTGCCTCGATCTATTATTTTTAGCTAATAATAAAGCGATATGACTTTATTCCTAACCAATGATAACGCGGCCCTAGCACGTGGGGTCCAACTAGTAAAAGTAAAAAAGAGAAATTCACAAAAGTCAAAAAAAAAATAAAAAATATTTTTAGGACTGGTCAAACATGATAAATCATATTAAAATTTTATTTTCTTTCTAACTTGTAACCTATAAATTAAAATGATTTTTTACTTAAGTACTGACTTTACAAGATCCATTGCGTAATTATTAAAAAAAAAATTATACGGAGGATCTCCTTTACAAAAATTATCTTCATTAATTATTCTGATTACACTACCTTTCCAATTTTGGAATCGCAATATGTCCTAAACTTTGTTTTGGAACCCCATAGAACTCCTCCAGGGAAGGGTGATTATCCAGTAGTCTGGAACATCATCATGTAGTTGAAGTTAATATAATTGAAGAAAAAAATAAAAAATTAATTATTTATATTGATAAATAATAATTAAATTGATAAATAATAATTAATAAGAGAAGGGGAATGGTAGAGGGCCCAAATTCTGTGGCTCAAATGTGGCTCAAATAGCCAAAACGACGTCGTTTTGGGTACAAAACAACATCAAAATGGCCAAAACGATGTCGTTTTGGCCATTTGAATCACATTTGAGCCACAGAATTAGGGCCCCAAACATTTTTCAATAAGAGAATATGAACAAAAAAGAGAATATGAACGCATGATATTACGAAATTATTGTATAATTTTCCGCACCGAATAAGCTTCTTCAACTCTTGACCTGCTCGAAAATAGTCCCCAAAACAACTACGCAACTTTTTTGACATCTCTCTCGTTACCGATGCTTCCCTTTCTATTTCTTATTCCCTTTCTCTCTGTAAAGACCTAGACCTTGTATGGCGACAACCCATTTCAACTTACTGCGAACAACACCACCACCCTTACACCAAAACCCTAATTACTTCTCAATCTCAAACCCTAATTTCAACAACTCTCAATGGCCACCGATGCCACTCCAAAATTCCAAAAACCCGATCTTTTGCCTCCCGATTTCCACCCGGAGATCACCGTCTCGCCGGCCCACGACGGTCTCCACTTCTGGCAGTTCATGATAGCCGGTTCGATCGCCGGTTCGGTCGAGCACATGGCCATGTTCCCGGTCGACACCGTGAAGACCCGTATGCAGGTCCTCGGTTCCTGCCCGATCAAGTCCGTGGGGCTCCGCCAAGCCCTCGGGTCCATCCTCAAAACCGAAGGCCCTGCCGGGCTCTACCGCGGCATCGGCGCCATGGGGCTCGGCGCCGGACCGGCTCACGCCGTTTACTTCTCCGTGTACGAGTTCTGCAAGAAGTCGTTTTCTGGAGGAAACCCTAATAACCCGGCGGCGCACGCGGCGGCGGGGGTGTTTGCGACGGTGGCGAGCGATGCGGTGTTGACGCCGATGGATATGGTGAAGCAGAGGCTGCAATTGAGTAGTAGTCCGTATAAGGGGGTGATGGATTGCGTGAGGAGGGTTGCGATGGAAGAGGGGATTGGGGCTTTTTATGCGTCGTATAGGACCACTGTGTTGATGAATGCGCCGTTTACGGCGGTGCATTTTGCGACGTATGAGGCGGTAAAGAGGGGTTTGATGGAGGTTTCGCCGGAGAGCGTGAATGATGAACGGTGGGTGGTTCATGCTACCGCCGGTGCGGCTGCTGGGGCGTTGGCGGCTGCTGTGACGACGCCGCTTGATGTGGTGAAGACTCAGCTACAGTGTCAGGTAAAGCAGTCGCACATACGCATGTATATGTCTTTCAATTTGTAAATTGTGCTAATTGCTCTATGTGATGAACAAATATAGTTGATGTGTGTTGGTATACAAAAACAAGTATTGAAGGGGCAATTGCAAAAAAAATGTGGAAATAACTTGTAATAATTAGTTTCCTTTTCATGGATCCATGTGCAACTTCATGAAAGTTGCATTGATTGAGTTGTTTTCCCTGATTTATGATTCTCCCAAAAACAAACCCCCCAACAAAAAGCAATACACCTATACTAAGACAGAACTTACAGCAAAAGAAGAGGGGATACCAGACAAACAATCACCACTAACTTCAACAAAATAAAGCCACCTAAAATGCATTACTCAAAGGGCGTGCAGACACACTTACCCTCAATTGTGTGGATTGTTTCTCATTCAATTGCTCATTGTCTTTCTTTATATTGCTGAAAACTTTGAGATTCCTTTATCTCGAAATATGGTATACTGACACCGTCACGTGCCATGGAGAACTTATACACTGCATTTTTGAAAGTACAGTACTTGCATCTTTGTATGGCTTATTGCATCTCTTCCTTTTTGTCAGAATGTCTTTCCATACTGCATTAGAGAAAGAGCAAGAGAAAAACGAAAACTGATGAAACTCTCTTCATGTTGGTTACAACGAGGTTAAACAGGGTTCGCCTTTGTTCCCTAATCCCTTAATCTGTCTTTTGTAGCTAGTCTTTTATGACGTAGTAGGCACATAATCAATGCACATTTGGGAATAGCCTGCTTGAACCAGACAAGGTTGTAACAATTTATTGGCTGGTTTCCTTCTAATAGCCTCTCAAACAGATCTAGATGAATTTATTCCACTTGAAGAGTAGGACCAGACTACTTTATTAGACCTTGATGTAACTGGTGAGTCTGCAGGCAAAGGCATGACCTGAAGGCTGTCATGTTTTGTAATGTAACTATGAACCCATTTCACTCAAATAGAATTAATCTTCCTACTTAGATCCAATTAGTATCTGATCATCATGGTTTTATTCCATTCCTTTTGAGCCCTCATTCCCACTCCTCCATTTATAGGTGAGCAGGCAGTATCCCCCTGTACCTTTGCTCCTATATGCTTTAATTTGGCCCCAGTCCTGAGGAATGTTCTTAAAATGCCCTCAATGTCTTTGATTATCTTCAGTGGGGTCATTTAACAAGTATTATCAATAGTGTTATGTCGCTATAGGTTCTACACAATCTATATCAAAATCAAATTTTACACTATAATTTTATATATTTTCAATTACATCGACAATAGTAATTCAAACTTGTTAAATTACATATAAACCAAAAGTTGAGACATTAATGCTTCAACAAAATCAAGCAAAGATTTGCATTTACACAATTATTCACAAGTTTTTATTGTTTGAAATCGCTATATATATGACAACCTTATTACTTATATTATATTATCTAATATTTTTTTTCCCCAATATATGTGGCTAAATAATCATTGATTCATTGATCACTCTGACTAATTTAAAAAATATCACTTATTGGATTCTTTATAAAATGCATCAAGAAAAAAAAAAAAAAGGAGATCTTTTCACAAATATAGTTGTAGTTGGTAGAATTGATGACTATGACAATTGTAGTTGTTATTTTCACTACAATTCTTTAAAAACAATTCTCCAAAAATTTGTATTTTAATGTGCTTTAAGAGTAATATATGTACACTAGAAGCAAATTTGTATTTATAATAAAGTGAAGTAGAAATAGCAATTCTTTTTTGTTTCTTTAATTTCACTGTGTTCAATTTGTAAAATACCAAACATTTTGGGTAAATTTTACATTTATTTTAAGAAAATTTCCATGTTGAGTGGTGTCACTTGATATCACTCATTATACTCTTAACTCCACCAGTGAGAATCAGTATATTTGAATGCTAGATAACACTGGTTGTATTAATTGCAATCTGCCTCCATGGGACAACAATCTATTTGTCCAACTCTTAACTCTTTTCATCAATATTTTTTTTGGGTACATTGGAGGGGAAGGTGCAGTTGAACCTGTGACCTCCTAGTTAGGTACGCGCATGCACTGCTACTAGGCTAACCCTGGTAGTTCATCAGTTTATCCTTAAACTACTTGCAATTGTAAAGTTTTAATTTAGTAGTTATATGGGGGACCCCCAAGTACTTTACTGCTAGGAATCCTTCTGGAATCTCTAATGTTTGCATCATTGAAACTTTAACCTCTCCAGAAGCTCCAACAAAATATATAACAGTAATTTTCTTCAGATTTGGTTGTAACCCTGCCTAACAATGAATCTCTTTCAAGATTTTCCTTACTACTGTGAATCAATCAGCATCTACATCGCATAAAATGAACAGATCATCTGCAAAACACAAGCGAGAGAGTTTGAGATCCCTGCATTTAGGATGATATAACCTACATATAGGAATTCCCTTGACTGATATATCACTGTAAACGAGCTCGAACTGGTAAGAACAGATAGGGGATAGTGAGGGGGGAGCTGTTTTTGGAGAACAGAAGAAGAGTCTCACCCTTGCAGGGGTTGAGGTTGAGCTAAATCACAGAAATATGACTTGAAATTCTTGTAAATTCTACGGTCAACTTCAATGCAGAAAAACTACATAAATATCATAGGTAGCTATATACTTGCTGATTTTGATAGAATTAGAACTTCAATATACGAAACTAAGAAACATTGATGACCAAGGACAATCTAGATCTAATAAAATCACAACATATGTGACACAATATTATAACTTGACCTAAAAGATGACCCATGGAACCATAATACAGCTCATGTCGTTAAAATGATCGGACTTTCTTTGACCTCTTAAAGTATACGAAGTATATATGAATCTAAGTTAGTGTAGTAAACCAGCTAATTTGGGGCACTCCAGTTGGTACCACTCATATTGAGGATCTGTAAGCCGACTGACGTACCTGGTGTGCTACCCTTCCTCTGCCAAAAAAGAAGAACGTTGAATAAAATATATATGAATCTAAATTAGTGTAGTAACATAAAACGAACACAAAATAGGACTCAAACACAACCTTAAACTTGATTAGACAAGGTCAAAAGCTTGGTCCTTCTGAGATTCCCATGGATGACAATTCAACTTTGTTACAGAACTAACTGAACTTGTTACAACTTTGTTACAGAACCACCCTTCCTCTGACAATTCAACTTTGTTACACAACAATTGGACTTGTTTCTGTAAATACAATTGTCCAATACTGGAAAATGCACGAGGGATTTTAACTGAGACGTTATGAAGGACCAATGTGGGTGTTGTATTTATACGAATGGATGTTTGAGGAAACAATTAAACTTTTACTCCTTGGGTGGACAATTTTTCTCGTTAATATTATGTGATACACGTAATGTGGTTAACGATCTGTCTCTGTGCGCGCGTGCCCTCCTTGTCTTTGATTAAATTGATCTTCTGTGATGTGTTGGTTGATTTTATAGCCTTCATGATAGCGAACTGTTATTAGATTTTTTGTTAACTACTAGCAGCAATTAATTTAGAAATATATTAATCAATGCTGGTATATTACTATAGCATTTTTCAAGTTATGAATTTATTTGTTGGGCCATGCAGGGCGTATGCGGATGTGACAGATTTATAAGTGGTTCAATTAGGGATGTTTTTCGAACTATAATAAAAAAAGATGGATACCGTGGGCTCATGAGGGGGTGGATGCCAAGGATGCTCTTCCACGCACCTGCGGCTGCAATCTGCTGGTCTACATATGAGGCTGCAAAATCCTTCTTCCAAGAACTAAATGAGAACAATAGTAGTGCCACTTGAATGACCATGAAGAATAAGTATCTTCATTTTTCTGCTAGTGTATTATTGAATACCTCTATTACAGACTAGAACGTTTTTTCGGCGATGATTTAGCGAGATGAACGAGCATCTTTCAGGGATGATTTAGCGAGATGAATGAGCATCTTTCAGGAACGACGGCAGTTTGTGCAACTGGTGTTAGCAGATGAGCTCATAGGACAGATTAGAATTTATTATTTATGTTGTATAAATTGTTGTCGTTTTAAGAATTTAATTGATAGAAAGTTTGAGATGTTTTTGTACTCTTCTTTTTTTCTCTCTATATTTTGTTCCACAGAAATGCCGGAACCCACTTTTCTCTCTGGATTATGTTCCAAGAAGTAGTCAAATTGATTACATCAAAAACCAGTTCATTTATTTTATGGATGTTCAAGGACCAAGTGCAGTGGAGAACTTTTGTTTTTTTGTTTTTTTTTTTTGTCTATTTCTACGGATTATTTTTTTTAATTTTAATTTTAATTTTTTTTCCTTTACATTTAGCGTTTGAGAACCCAACAATTGATCCTCGTTATTCTTTTGATGGGGCTTTTCTCGAGCGATCCTCTCAATTTGAAGTCCACCCTCATCACTAGTTTTTTAGTGGCAGTATTTTGATGCAATAACCAACTGGGCTTGTTAGTTAGTTAGAACTTCTACACTTCATTAGGAAGTTGAGAATTCGAATCATTAGATATTATTACAGGCAAAACTCAGTGCTATAGCACAAAAAAACAAAAATAAAAAAAAGGTTCAAAATCAAAACAACACAAAACAATACAATGATACCATCTAATTGAAGGATCCGTCAGAAAGAAATTTGAACCGTGTTGCATTCATTTTTGACCCCTAAAATGAAATTTCAGACCATTGTATCTTTGTGGAAGAAAGCTCACAACATTCTTACCCACAATTTAAAAATGTACACTGGACCGCTATGATAATTACATCACATTACTGGTTTCCACCCAACTTCAAAAGGTCACCCCAGTTTACAACAAGAAGTAATCAAGAAAGAACAAAACAATATCTCCCAACTGCCTATGAAGTATCCTTCAACAATGGTATTACATAGGTTGTCATCTGACAGATTAAATGTCTCGCTCGTTTACTACCTGACCAACAATCACAGTGATATCATCAAGCTTACCACCTGCACAAGAAGAGACTCTTTAGCCCAATGGATCTAAGAGAAAAGGGCATCACTAAAAGTTTTTAATAAACCTTGCCTGTCAACTTCATCCCAATAAATTTCTTCCACCAGGGAACATCATAACCCTACACATGAAGACAATAACCACATTATTGCACAGCCCAAATACCTAGAAATGGATGACAAGTAGGTGAACCTCTGCACTGATTTTACCTTGGTTCTGGCCTCTGAGGAATAAGGAGAATCAAAGCTGGAGTTCGTTGAATGATTGTGAGCCAAATTAGCTAATGCCTTTGCTAGCATGAGAATCAAATGGCAGTTAGAAAATGAGACACCTGAGTCAACAAATTTCTATTGGAGACAAATTGAATCAGGCAATATTTACCAGCCTCAGCAACATCACTGTATTGGGCCATCGTAGAAATGATTTCATGGTTGAAAACGTTGTCAAAAAGGCCATCAGAGCCCATCACAATGGTGTCTCCCTCCATTAACCGCACGCTGGTAACCTGCGTTTGAATAAACATATCTGATTGTAAGGAGATTTAAGCATCTCCAGTATATTTCAAAATTTCCAAATGATTTTCTTTCCTAATGAAACATACTCCGACATCAGACACTATTGCCCAACTCAAGGTTTTAAAAAGCGGCCGCAACCGTTACGTAACGCCGTTACGTAACGGTTTTGGCGTTTACCGCCACCCGTTACGGCCGCTTTTGCAGTGTGTAAAAGATTACAGACTAATTGTCTCTCTGCTAGCCAACATCATATACCATACTCACTTACTACACAGTATATAAATGAAAAAGCCAAACAAGTCAGTATTGCAAACATCTTAGTTTGTTGGTGCACTTCTATTAGGAAACTGATAAGCTGAAATATCATTGTGCCGCAAATCTTTTAAGCTCTTCTAAATTGCTGTGATTCAAAAGCTTAAAATATGAGTGCAGAGGCTAATCTGCTATCAGTAGAAACAGGCAAACAACACAACACACACCACCCACAGATACAAATGTACATATATAAATCCACCAGAAGTTTTGGCCAGAAAAAATCGATTTTTTGCCCATAAAAAATTGAATTGTCACGGATAAAACATGCCCACAAAATCAACCAAATGTAGAGGCAATAAAGAAAGGCACACATGTGAGAACCAATGTAAAAGAGCTCGATTGGTCCCATATAAGGTCCTTGTGAGTGACAATTCAGATTCACTCAAAACGTCAATACAAGAGCAAGAAGTCTTAGGTGTGCTTTGTACTTGAGATGATGAAATAATATAGATAATTTCAATCCTTGTATAAAAGGATACTAGATGTTTGAATCATCATACCGTGGCATCTAGGTACGTTTGACCAACCACCTCTGAGCTCAACTGGTACGGGCAATCAAAATAATGTTCTTGTGGAGACGTGGAAAAGATTATTTGACCTAATATCTCGATAAGTAATCAAGTAACGTCACTACATAATTACTGAGAAAAATAAACAGATAAATAAGGGACAATCAAGAAAAGCTCAAAGGTGGACAAATGGAAGATTTTGGTATTACCTTTACGAATAACCCGCAGTCCACAATCTCCAACATTGGCAATCTTCAGAGAACCATTCCTCTCTAGCATGGCAACAATTCTTCAAGGCCAGTGAAAACCCAAGTTAAATAAGTTTGCGGGATTCCAAAGTACGGCTTCTCCATTTGTGTGTGCACGTGTTGGCAACAATTTGGAGGGCATATTAAAGGAAAGCATAAACCTACACAGTAGCTGAACCTATGGAAGATGTCGCAGCATGTGCTTTCTTCAAAAGAATTTGAGGATCATAGTTAACCTGCCAAATTTTGTGACAAGACCAATGTGTATCAGCAAACAAAATATGCATAAGGTTAACTGTAAAGCAAAAGATAATCTTGCTCAAACAATTGAAGAGGCTGATGATGTCCAACTATACACACTGCTCGAGTCCAACATTGCAATGATGGAAGCATATCGTTCCCATATTCTGAGATAGTAATACCTCTTCATCCCCAACTAAATCTGAAGCTTTAGCCATTAGTTCCCGAGAGAACAATGAAGGGTCCACATTCTGCTCCGCCCACCTGTCAAGCATCATTTAATTCTCAGAGTATGGGCTTATGGGGTATTCTAGAGCCATGAATAACTTGCAATAACCATCCATGAAGTAGTCAATTATACTGTCAACTATCAAGCATAATGACAACAATTTACTGACCACTTGACAAGATGTCACATCTCATTCGTGAATTCTTGAATCATTTGCACAAAGGTGGATGATTTTTGGTAATACAGAAACTTCTAACCTTTGTCCTCAAAATTTTGAAAATACTACTTGTACTTTTAACTTTGAATTTCTAATAAACAAGATAAGAGGACATTTTAAAGTAAAACTTTGTACCCAGAGACACCATCGGCAACAGCAATAATTCCCCCATTATAGCTGCTCACGAAGAATGCATCCTCCCCACCTTTTTCAACCTTAAGAAAGACAAACAAAATGACTTAAGAATGTGACCGATATGTAACAATTCCATATCAATAGTTCCCAATTCACTCTAAGTAATAAATTCTATTCAACGCAAACCAATGGCATAATGTGGCTTATGAAACTCACATGAAAGTAAATATACGAGAAGGAAAATTAGCTCTGCAAAGGCGGGTGAACAAAATCGAACTCACTACCTTGTTAGGGTGTGGAATGAGGTGAGTTCCAATACAAAATGATACCTCTGACCTACGACCACAACAAATAGATCAACTTCCACATTAATCACGCCAACAATCACCACATAATATGAATGTCTTAACCATTGCAGAGGCAAGATAGGGTGATAATAAAGCATCTGCTAAAGCCAGTTATGAAAATGACCGAAAATTGCCAGTTTGGTTGTGTTTATGCTTTCATTTTCTGGATTGTATTTGGTTCGAATTATTTTTGGACCTTCCCCCCCTCATAGAGAAATATGCGGTCACTCCATCAAGCACTAATATTCTCAATTTCTGCCTTTTTGTCCACCCTCTTGACAATGCCAGCTATAACCTGTATACGATCCACAAAACAACCTCAGAGATTCAGATTAGACAAATAACTCATTTTCTAAGAAATACCAAATACTACTAGTTCGTTTTCAAATTAAAAATAAAAACGTATAAGAATTCATGTGTGTTGTCAGAATTTTTACGGTTTTTCTTTCATACTGTGTTTGGTTAGGGGATTTGGGAGGAATTTGGAAACGGAATCGAAAAAAGTGTGTGAAATATAGACATGTTTTATTCGCATTTCACATATCTTTTCCATTTTCCTTTCCAAATCTCTTCCCAAATCCCCCAACCAAACACAGCATTAGAAAACGAAAATGGAAAGCAAAAATGAAGAAAATGAAAACACAACCAAACGCAAGTAAGTGATACAAATTTTACAACACCGAAGAAGTTTCCAATTTGAAATGTGTGTGAAAGTTGTTTCGTGTATAATTGGGATGCTTCAAAGAAATTATTGGAGAAGATTGGCTTTTTTTTGTTACCGAGGAAGATTCAATTCCGACGGAGCACAACGGGAAATCGAATTCCTTTTCTTCGAGATTGAACTGTTCGGAGCCCCCAACGAATTCAACAATTTGTGAGACTCTGAAATGGAAGTAGACCTGAATATGGGAATGGCCATTTCCCGCTTCAGACTCTCTCTCTCTCTCACTCTGTGTTGTTTTTTGACAAATCAAACACGAACAGACAAACAGTTTATTGGATGTGGGTTTGGTGAATTGGTGTTCACAATTCATGCCACGATTCAACTACCAAATTCAACAGTACAATAAATTATAAAAATTACCTCGTCGATTCAACAAGCACCAGTGGTCTAGTGGTAGAATAGTACCCTGCCACGGTACAGACCCGGGTTCGATTCCCGGCTGGTGCATTTTGTTTTTCTCTGAATCAATTTTTATTTTCTTTTCTGGTAACCAATCAGCTTCTTTCCAATTTTATCCCAGGGACCCTATATTTGGGAACTAGAATATTCTCGTCGAACATTGCAATTTTTATTTTCTTTCTTTACCTTCCTGGTAACCAATCAGCTTCTTTCCAATTTTATCCCAAGGACCCTTTATTTGGGAACTAGAATATTCTCGTGGAACATTGCAACATATGCCGTATTTATTCATACAAAAAATTATTGAAAAAGCTCAACACTCGGATATAATTATTTAGATAGATTCATTTCATTATATGAAAGTTAAATCTTAACTCTACATTTATTTTTTCTAGTGTGGGGGTAGATTTCTTTCAAATATCAAACAATGAATGTTGTGTCTAACTATTAGAACGATTGCATCAAAGGTAAACTACTAGATTGATCAAAATCAGTGATAAATGAAAGTTCTTTTCTTTCCAAATCAATTTGTGGTGTGTGGGGATGGGGTATGTATATATATGCATATTATACATTTTATTAGAATGTGTTGTGTGTAATGTAATAATGTTTTGCAAAGAACCGCAGTGGAAGCAGTTTCGACACGAACTACGACAATTTGCCGAAATACTATCAACCAATCTCCGTTGGCGGCGACAAGGAAGATGAAGAAAATGCTTCCAATCAGTCAAATTTTGATCGCAACACAGATGACGAATTTGATTCTCATTGCATAGAAAATGGAATATGGTCTCTCGATCTAAGCAATGACAAAGAAAGAAAAACAAATGAAGCAGAAGAAGAGGAAGAGAGGATGAGAAAGGTTTCTGATTCAGCGATACTTAGAGCATTGAGAGAGGATAAGAGGCGCCTGAACGCTTCGCTGGCACCGGAGATAGCGACGAGAGTGATGGAGGCAATGCATGGTGTCTCGTTCAGTGGATTAGCTCCTAGTTGGGCTGATCAACTCCTTGAAGATCAATGGTTCAATCAGCTCAGAAGATTGACACCACCTACCACCACAAATCATGATTGATAGAGACAAAGATGTTCGTTTTACATTTTGTTTTTGTTTTTTACTGTTACCAATCTTGTGTTACTTGGAGAAGTTGAACAATTAAATATAAATTTGCCTTATATCTCACATCTGATGCAATCACTAGTGTTATTGGAGGCAGCAATCTAAAAATGTTTCTTAATAGATGATGAAAATGGCTACACTTCAATCCAAGGACACAACCGATACAAAGTCATCTTAATAATCAAAATTGATGGTACAAAAACTACAAACCAAACAAATTTCCAATGATTTTTACTACTAAAAAGCTCAATTTTTCCAAGGTCCCAACGCCTTTTTGGTGAGGCTTGAACAGGAATCTCTCTGCCTGTGAGACCCAGATGATGCAATACATTCGCAAGGTTATTAGAATGGTATTCATAGAGAAATATGCGGTCACTCCATCAAGCACTAATATTCTCAATTTCTGCCTTTTTGTCCACCCTCTTGACAATGCCAGCTATAACCTGTATACGATCCACAAAACAACCTCAGAGATTCAGATTAGAAATGCTCGAATCAAATTGCCCATATTCAAGTACAAAGGAAATGCATTTAACATTTTTACCTTTCCAGGTCCTAATTCATAGCTCTTTTTCACCCCTCTTGCAAGGAGCGTCTTCACTGTTGTCTCCCACTGAACGGGCGATGTTACCTGTTGTGCCAATATCTTCTTGATGGTGTCTGGATCTGCATGTGGTTGTGCATCAACATTGGATATAACTGGTATTCTTGGAGTTCTGATTTCTGTTGCTGCCAATGCAGCTTCCAATCTTGAGACAGCTGGTTCCATGAAACTAGTGTGGAAAGCCCCAGCTACAGCCAGGCGCACCTGAAAGAGTAAAAGAAAAACATTGTCTAAGTTTGTTTAGGATCAAAATGGTAGGAAGCGAGGGAAAAAGAATAAAATAAAACATTTTCTGACTTTTTTTAGCATGAAAGTGGTCGAAACTACAAGAAAATTAATTTTTTTGTACAACCAAATATTGACATTGTAACCAAGTTTTGCATTTCTTGCAAAAAATACAGGAAAACACAAGAAAATTAAAAATTTCCATGCAAGGGATTATCTATAATTAAAATTTCAAATTCTCTATGTTTTTGTTGCAAAATTTTCATCCTAATAAAATGCTTGTAAGAAAATATATTTTCTTTTGTTTCACTTTCACTTTCCACCCTTTTTCTTGCTAATCAAACACAGCCTAAGAAAGATGTAACAAATGTTGGAGCCATGGCATCAGATTGAAAACATAAAATTAAGGAGAAAAATACCGTCATTCGAGCTTTGAATGACTTTGCCTTTGCTTCTACTGTTTCCACTCCTTTCACGCCTCCAGAAACTGCATAATTCCCCTACCAAATAGAGTGAATTCTATGTCAAGTCAGATTAAATTAGAAAGTTCCCGACTGGATGATAGAAAATTTATTCTAAAGAATCTTACAGGACATAGAAAATTTGCAATCTGAACTTTATCAGCTTCATCAACTTCTTCATTGGCTGCGTCACACAACTGTTGGACCTTATCTGAGTCCAGTCCAATGATACTGACCATGGCACTTTTAGCAGCATCAGCAGCTTCCTGCAACAAACAATGTGACAGAAACACAATAGTTATAGAATTTTATTTTTCAAGGATATTCTGCAATTAAGATGAGTATTAGTCAATAATGGATTGTTACCTGCATGGCTTCACCCCTTAATTTGACCAGCTTGAGTCCATCCTCAAAGCTAATTAAATAATGCACAAATCGATATTAAGAATTTAACACAAATAAAAACATGAAGAAAAAAAATATTAGATGTATTTGAAATTAAAAAAAAAAAAAAAATCTGGACTCCATGTGATCAGTATTTAATTGACTCAAAACGGAGAATAATGCACCATATTTATTAGTGTTGAAGATGAAGCTCCAGCTACCCAACACAAATTTGGAAACATGATCCATCTAACAACAATGTTACTAAATTGCATGGCTCACCTGAAAGCTCCAGCAAATGCAAGAGCAGTGTATTCTCCCAAGCTAAGACCACATGTGACATCAACAGAATCAATTATCTGCTGACCTCCATCACGAGCACGAAGTAACTCAACCGCAGCAAGGCTCGTGACATAGATAGCTGGCTGTTAAAATGCAGAATGAAGAATTAGTTTAAGACCGTCAACTGAAAACTCAATTATGTAACAACAGGGACATAATGTAAACAGTCCTTGGCAAAAAAACACTTCCTTGCTAGGAAAAATAGACACACATCACATCAATTTGGTGGGTTACGTCATATTTACCATGTCTTTTGGTCTTGATCAATTTGGTGGGTTACGTCAATTTGGTGTCTTTTGCTAGGAAAAATATATAGAATTTCTCAAGTACAATGCTAATTCAAAAAAATGCTGTTTTCAATTTTTTTTTATGGCAAGTGACATTTCAAAAAGTAGACTGGTTAGTGAAGCTAATTAGCACTTCAGAGAGTTATTTTAAGTGGGCTCATTAAATTTAAAGCATAATCATTTTTGTTATTGTTAATTAATCCACTCTACAATCAAATTGTGATATGTCCACAGCTACTTCAGTTTTAAGATAAACCACAATAAACAATTACTAAAAACAAGAGAAGTAAAAATATTACCCGGCAAAAAGGAATTTAAAAATAAAAATAAAATTATAGAAATAGTAAAATCACATGATACCTGGCTTAGAACAGTTGAATCTAGCTTTTCTTTTGGTCCACTTATGCACACATCCAAAAGGTCAAACCTTCAAACAAGATGGACATTAGATTACATCACTCATGTTCTGAGCTGAACCACCGAAATGAGAAAGATAATAAAAGGCATCAAAGAAAGTAGATTTTTTGTTAGACCAACCCTAGAATGTCATTTGCTTTCTTGTACAAGTTTGCTGCAGCAGGTACATTTTGGGCTTCCTGACCCATTCCAACAGCTTGTGCACCCTGCAACGTAATAAACACATAGGGTTGGGCATGATCCAGATTTGATTAGTCAAATTTCACATGATGTTATGCTGAATACACAAATCCCCAAGTTAAAGCATGATCAAGAAATGCTATTTAAACTTCTAAATTGTTAGGTAACTTTCTCCAGGATTATTCAGCTTTGTTTTTTCTTCCCCCCAAAACATATAAATATAAAATAAACACAGCAACGGTGATGACAAGTTGGCAAAGCTGGGATGATTAAGGTGCTGGCTAGAGAAAGACTCCTGGCAAGTTGTATTGGAGAGTTTTAACACTGCATACCACCATCAGGATGTTATGCAGTTGTATAGCCCATTTTTTACTTCTACACATATATAAATATATATACACACGCATATATAGAACTTACACTATACCATGATATACAACACAAACATGCTAACAATAATCATGCAACGGAGTGTGCACATAATGATGTTAATGGTGAGAGTATTGCCATAAACATTTGAAGTATAAGCATGGCGCCTTCACTTCTAAAACACATAATTACTGAATTTGGAACATTTTATGCATACATGTTACAAAATATTCACAAATATCTTTTCTGTTTTACTTCTTTCTAGTTGTACCAACAGTAAGCTTAGCCAGTAGGCAAAGCCAATAATCCATCCAGAGATTATCACTACCAAATACAAATGCAATATAAGTTGGGTAATATAATAATGAAGTGCCAGAGCCAGGTTTCTAAGTGTAATGGAGGTAATTCTGCATAGCATGTAAAATGGTTCTAACTTGTTTATTATATATAGGGTTTACACCATACATTTGAACCTCTCAACTATAACATTGTATCACTTTCAACCCATCAAAAGGGGGGCATTTATATATGAGGGGTCCAAATGTATGGTTTTTAGTTGACATGGTTAAGTGATATTGAGTGATAGTTGAGGGGTGTCATGTAATTGACCCTTGTATACAACCATTGCTAAGATTTCACAATAAGAAACCAATGCATTTTACTAATACATGTGGTAACTCATGCAGATTTACTTCAATAAAGAAAAGCAAAACGAAAATTTTGATTTTTGATCATTTTCAGAAATGGTACAAAATGTTGTAGCAGGAAAAATGTGAGATTATTTTCCAAGTTGATTTTCTCGTTCTCTGAAAAACATCCAAAAATCCAAAATAGAAGAACCGCATTATGGAAACTGGAAACGTAGCAGCTTAGGCAGAACCAGCTCACCCGGTACTATTATTTTCCTAATTTAGGGAAATATATTCATTGATAAGCCAATAATTCCCTCAAATGCACGCAGAAATAAACAAAATTCCAATCTTTCTTCAACAAATCTCACATTTCGCCCAGAAATTCAAATTAAAAAAATTAAAAAAAAAAACAGTTAAAAATAAAAAGATCTGAACCTCACCTGACCAGGAAACAGAAACGCAAAGCTGGGCTTGTAATCCGAGAACAAAGCATCATCAACAGCCGCTCGAGATCCAACCGAGACGCTCATAAAAACCCTAGATTTATCAAAATTCCTAGGGCTAAAGCTAAAGCTCCGAATTCCATGCTTGAAACCCGAAAAATACGAACAATTCCGCAAGGAATCTGGAGAGGAGAAGGCGAGCTTCTGCACAGAAATCGAAGGAGCTACGAGCGAAGAAGTCATCGTGGAGATCGAATCAGATAGTAATCGAGAGTGATGAGTGAAGAAGTGAGAAGAAGAAGAATAGCGATTGAATCGAGTGAGAGAGGAGAGAATGGTGAAGGAGAGCATGCATTGAAATAATTGAGATGGGGTTTAAGTTAACGGAGTTTACAAAGCTGAGAAAACCAAAGAAACCGGCCAACTGCCAAAAAGGGTTTGTTTGTTGGGACAATTTGCTTTTATGACTTTTGTTTATTTTATTTAGGATTCATTACTCTTTTCATGTTTTACTTAAATTTAATTTTATATCTATATTTTAATTTCAACAATATCAAATTTATACTTCAGGTTTAATTTTAATTATGTTATGTTTAAACTCAATTTTTTAAGAGAAATTTTTTTAAGGTTCTTGTTGTTAAGATTTTATAAGATAAATATCATATAATATATTCATAATAGTTAGGATTTTTTAATATTTTTTTAGAGAAAATTTGATTCAGAAAAATTTTAAAACACAAAGAATTTTACCTAAAAATTTTAAAATTTCTCTCGATTCCGCTACGTAGCTCGAAACATGATGGCTCGAGTGGTCTGAATTTACATTTGTACTCAACTTGCTGCTACTGTATGCACCCACACATTTCATTTCATTTCAATAACAACACAAAAAAAAAAAAAAAAAAAAAAAAAAAAAAAAAAAAAAGAAAAAGAAAAGAAAACAACAAAGAGTAGAGGGAGAGGAGCACCATCTGGTCGTAACCTAGCGTAACTGTTCCCTTGTGCCGCCGCTGCTGCTGTTTGATCGGAGTGGAAGAGGAGGAAGTTTGTGTGCCACAGAGTAATCGAAGTCTTCACTGACTTGGAACCGGTCTGTTCGTAACCTAGCAGAACTGTCTCTGTGTGTCGTTGCTGTTGCTGTTTGATCCAAGTGGAAAAAGTGGAAGTTTGTGTGCTGCAGAGCAATCAGAGTCTTCACTAACTTATGGATAAGGCATTTCCCTTTGACGTTTTATTTCCCCTTGTATCATTGCTCTTCTATAGCTCTGTCATTGTGGTTGCCAAGGCTGCCAAGGCTGCCATGGCTGGTAGCAACTGTTAAAATGATTAAGATGATTGTAAAAATAAGATTATTGTTTAGATGATTATGGCCACTACATAAGATTTCTCATCTGTCCATGACCATGATAGTCAATACTCTTACTTGAGCCTTTATTTTATATTCATTCTCTACTAATTAGATTTATTTATTTATTCATATGCATAATAACATTTTTGTCTCAGCAAAATTTGGTGAAAAATCATCCACAGATACCAATTTTAACAGTATAATAGCAATTTTAATCATTTTAACAGTATCTTAACATTTTAATCATTTTAACAGTATTTTAATCATTTTTGCTATCTTGTTTTGCAACTCACTATATTAACATCCTTGTTCTGATTCATCTTTGAAGAATGTAATTCCTTCATTACTCAAATCCTTCACAATTTAGATTTAAAAATGTGTCTGGTAGCTATTGCCCCAGACAATTTCTACTTCCTTTAAAATTGCAGCTAACTCTCTGAATGTCTATTCTATTTAATTTTGAAGCTACAATGGATATTGATTCAAACAATAATTCATTAAATGGGAGTGAGGAAGTTGAAGAACAGGATAACAATCTTTCATTTAATGAGAGTGGTGAAATTGAAGAACCTAAGAAGGAGATGTATTTTATCTCAAAACAAGAAGTGTACGCATTTTATGCAAAATATGCGAAACACTGTGGATTTGCTATAGCTTTTAGAACACAAAATCTAACAAGTGATAAGGAAGTAAAATACTTTGGAATTAAATGTACTCAAGCGCGGATCAAAACAAAAAGATCAGAAATAAATCCCATGGAACCATCTTTGTCATCAAAAATTGATTGTAAAGTAAGGGTAAGAGTCAGTCTACAAAATGATGGATGATATAAGTTTATCACAGTTGTGCTTGAGCACACTCATGATTTGATTCATACTAACTTACGGCATTTTGCCATGAATAAGAGGATTTTTACTCCGATGATGAGGAGATTAGAAGTTAACGATGCAACACAGATTGGGGTGGCAAGGAATTTTCATTCCATAGTTGTTGAAGCAGGGGTATATGAGGCATTAACGTTTGATGAACGAGATGCAAGGAATTATATTGAGAATGTTAGAAGATTGAGACTTGGGATAGGAGATGTCGAATCAGTTACACTTTATTTCCATAAAATGCAACAACAATATTCGAACTTCATGGGGTAGGTTGTTTTGTAAGGTTTTTGTGGATTTATAGTTTAATGCTTGAAATTAGTAATGAAATTGTTTTACTATTTGATGATAATGTGCCGCAAAATCAACCTTACTATTTTCCTTACTATGGTTGCCACACAAGATAGTATGTATATACCGATATGTGTTGAATGGACTTAATTGAGAATGCTAGAAGATTGAGACTTGGGGTAGGAGATGTCGAATCAGTTACACTTTATTTCCATAAAATGCAACAACAATATTCGAACTTCATGGGGTAGGTTGTTTTGTAAGGTTCTTGTGGATTTATAGTTTAATGCTTGAAATTAGTAATGAAATTGTTTTACTATTTGATGATAATGTGCCGCAAAATCAACCTTACTATTTTCCTTCTATGGTTGCCACACAAGATAGTATGTATATACCGATATGTGTTGAATGGACTTAATATATTACACTTTGTTTGTTGTGGGGTTTTATTTTAATGCTTCAAATTACTAACAACATTGTCTTACTATTTAATGATAAGGTGCCGCACTATCAACTTTACTATTTTCCTTCTATGGTAAGCACACAAGACAATATGTATGTACCAGTGCGTGTTCAATATATGAGTACACATATTTTAATGATGAATTAAATTTTAGATTGGTCAATTTGTTTGTGGAAAATATTTGTAATATGTATTTTGTTTTTATAGGCACGGGTTAGCACAATACAAACGGCGGACAATATTGGAAGCACATCTCATACTCAATTAAAAATGGTCAACAATACAAGCAGTCAAAGTTCGACAGCAGCATCAAAATTTGTTGACTTGAATATAGATGCGGATCCAAATGCCCCATTTTTTTTTTTGGTTTTGCACTACTAATTATATGACATTCGTATATAAATTCGGATCGTTTGGTTTTAATTTGTTGTAGTATTTGTTGGGTTCATTTTTTCAATTTGTTGCAGTATGTTTTGCAACAATGGATGTATTATGGATAGCTATGAAGTATTATATAAGGCTATGTATGAAGTATTTTGTTCAAGGATTATATAAGCCTATCTACGCTCTTCTTCTCTAGCCAATTTGTCTGCGTGATCTGTTTTTTGCCATTGTCTGCCTGATTGTGTATTTGGTTAATAATGGAAGATTTGTAATTTGTGGTTTGCTAAACTTGTGATTTGTATAGGTTCAATTAAGCTTCTGCAGCATGTATAGTTCTATGGAGATGAAAAGGTTGGAGAGATTAAGTGAACCACTTTCACCAAGTGGTCTAACTTGAATGGTCTTTGTGTCTATTTCTTCTGGAATAAAATATGATATTGCTGCCTCCTTTGTAAGAAGATTTGAATAGTTTTTAGTTTTAGCTTTTCCTAACCCAACTTGTGCAGCTATAATGTTACCAAGTTTGCATGACTAACTCCAAAGGATTTTGATTAAGTGACTAACACAGTCATTGTTCTCTTCAAATTTGGTAAATGCCTGATTAGAGTTAGAATATCACAAAACATACAAACTCATCCACATAAACAACACAAAGCACACGGGACAAGTATTCATGAAAATTCCCCAAAATCTAACAACTCAGTCATTTACATCATTAAGCACAAAAAGATACAGAAAACAAAAGAAGTTTTTGATTACATTCATGAAATTCGTCATAACATTAGAGAGTTTGAGATTTACATGATAAAGTACAAAAAGACACAAAAAACAATGACATAAATCATAATTTTGAAGTTCTTCTCCATCCTTTGAAGCCTTCTACCATGTTGATGAATTTCATTGTCCATCTCATAAAGCCTTGTCCTTATATCGTTTAATTCTTCTGTTCTTATAGCTTTTTGAGGTCCAACATTGGAACAGATTGTGGAGCTAAGATTGTCATCATCCTCATCTATGAATTTAAAGTAATTACAGTGTTCCTTATGACTCTACAATGCACAAGAATTACTTAATCAAATTACATAAATAACTTTGTACACAGTAAAACATCAAATTCTATAATCGATACATATTTTGATGGACAAACAAAGAACAAACGTCATTGGTTTCCATTGTCATTCATACGTACAATATACATCGCCGCAGTTCTACCACAATCACGCAATCTTGGTTTTAATCTTATGATACTATTATTAGTAGAAGAAGAAGCCATAGTTCTATAATCTGCTATTATTAGTAGTTTAAGAAGCCATCAGTTGTCCCATGAACAAGCTAATAACAGCCAACTTTCAACACAGATTTCAAATCAAATTTACATATTTCAACACATTTACAGATTTATAAAACAGATTTATAACAGCTTTGTAACAGATTTACAGATTTATAACAGATTTCAACACAGATTTATAAGTTATTATAACATATTTACAAATTTGAAGATAGATTTCAACACAGATTTTCAGATTTACACATTTCAAGACAGATTTGATTGTTTATAATTTTACATATTTGAAGCAAATCTAAACATAGATGTATGAACTTAAAACCAAACACGTGTATTTTACCATCAAACAGATGTATTAATTAGATAACTATTCAAGCACAACCAAAGTAAAGCCAAAACCAAACTAATAGCTCAGATTGCAATGCAAATTAGATTGTTTATATTTTACAGATTTCAAGTAAATCTGAAAATAGATATATGAACTTAAAACCAAGCACATGTGTATTTTACCATCAAACAGATGTATTCAAGAAAAACCAAATTAAAGCCAAAAATAAACAGATGTATACCATACAGATGTGTATTTTACAAAACAGATGCGTATTTTACCACACAGATATGTATTTCAAGCAAAACCAAATTCAAGGCAAAACCAAACAAATGTATATGGAGGATAACAAATTAAAGGCAAATCTTAAACCCTAACACAACACATCACAAATTGAAGCCAAACATAAACCCTAACTTTGCGATTTTAGGTTTACCTCTGTCGCCGTCATTTGTCTTACTTCGTCGTTGTTCGTACTCCTTCCATGACCAGAGAGCGATCAGAAGGTAATGAGAGAGATCTGTCGAATGAGAGGGAGTAGAGAGAGAGAGAGAGATGAAAGTGATTCCTCCTTCCGCGACCAAAGAGCGATGGAAAGGTTTACCAAAGATGAGAGAGAGAGAGAGATGTGAGAGTGCAGAGAGTCCTTTTTTGTTTCGAGAATATAATAGAAGAGAGGAGGAGAGAAAAGCAAAGAGATAGAGAGGAGAGAGAAAACTAGTACTTTCGAGCCAGTCGAGCCCAACACTTTCAAGCTACAGATCATTTTCCAATTTCTCTACTTCCATCCAAATTATATAAAAAGTTCAATCCCACCTACATAATCATAGACATACACCAGGGATGTTTTCAAATTCAATATCTACACCACCCACATCCCTTGATTGTTTGCAACAACAAAACAAACTTTAAATTTCGATGCTCTAGCTGCAAGTAGCCCATCAATGGAAGTTGGATCTATATTTGCCTTGACTGCAACTACTTGTTAGACAAATCATAAGCCAAATGTGGCCTTCACAAATTAATCATCCTTTTCACCCACAACACCCTCTTACCCTGCTCCTCCACTATCCTTGGAATTTGACTTCGAGCTAGTGCAGAGCTTGCGGAAAGGTGCTGGAATGCTTTACCTTTCACTGTTCTGAGTGTAATTTTAGCCTTGACACGGAATGGAATTGTTGCTCCCAAAGCTGCACCTGTGACCAACGCACCAGCCATTGATGGAGTCTTTCCTAAACCCTAATTCAAGGGAATTTGGGATTGGGAGTGAAGAGTTTTTGGGGGTTTGTTAGTGAACTAAGTTTATGGACGTTGAAAGTGAAGCAACAGTGTGGTTGCTAGAAAAGTTTTTGTGATTCTTTGTTGTAAGTGCAATTCTGCAAGAGATGAAGAGAGCTTGAAACTTCCCCAATTGACGCCGATTGAGTTTTTTTTTTTTAATGGGGGAGATTGGAGAGAGATTGGAAGAGTGGATATAATATATAGGTGTGGGTGAAGGAGTCTAAGGGGTTGTTTGGAATGAAGTATATAAGTGTATTTTTTATATTTTTATTAAAAAAGTAGAGGAAAAAAATATGTATATTTAAGAAATTTTTTTGATTTTTTATGAAAAAATGTGTATTAAAATATTGTATCAATTAGCAAAATTACCGAAGTACTCTTCTGAGCACTGACATACACTATGCTGTGTCTGTGCACTGTGCAGTGCTTTTTTTTTTAAAAAAAAAAATTTTTGTGCATGTCAACAAGGGCTTTTTAGTCTTTTTTGCCCTCTGTATATGCTGACTTTTTGACTAAACAATTGATTATTGAATAGTGTTAATTTTTTTGCTTTTGTGTTTGGTAAGTGGATTTGCAGGCTTTTTTGGCTATTTTAGCCATAACAAACAAAACATCAGATCCAACCCATAATCATTACATTCTTCTCTCACAAAAAAACTCAAAAAAGTCAAAAAGCCAAAAAGCCCTTCCCAAACCAAGCTTTTAAGCCCAGGCTAAAATAGCCAAAAAAGCCAAAAAGCCAACCTACTTCAACCCATAATCATTACATTTTTCTCTCACAAAAAAACTCAAAAAAACCAAAAAGCCCTTCCCAAACCAAGCTTTTAAGCCCAGGCTAAAATAGCTAAAAAAGTCAAAAAGCCAACCTACTTCCCAAACGGAGGCAGTTTTTGACTTTTTGTGTATTATAGATGATCCCAAACAAGCATTAAGTTATAAAAAAAATATATTATAAACCTCTTTCATTACTAAAAGTTAGAAAGAGATGGTAGATTAAATATTCTTTTTTTTTAATGATAATTTAGCCAGAAATACTAAATTAAAATTGAATTTGGAGTTTAAGGTTAATAATATTCAAATTAAAATATTAGAGACTAAAAGAATTACAAAAATATAATTTATTTTTCATCAGGAAGGGATTGTATGTTGGCTTTGGTCCTATGGTTTGAGAAAATATTATTTCAGATTCTATTAGGAAAAATATTTTCATATTAGTGAAAAACTTTACAACATTAAAAAGATAAAATCATAATTTTTTCCATCAAACTGATTTTTTTTCCCCCCTTAACATACCACTAAACTGTTACTGCCCCTTTAAGCTGTCCATCGAAATAGCCCACGAACCATTCATAGCAAGATCAACAAGGATTTTTCTTACTAGCTTAAACTCACAATGGAATAACTTTAAAACCTTTAGGAATTTCAGTTTTAACTTTACAACCATTCCCATTCTCCCAATCTATTCTAGTACAAATTCAAAAAAATTATAAAAAAAAAAACACAATTTTAAAATCCAAACACAATCTAAACGGTGCATTTCTAACTCGTCATTTCATCATTTGTAAAAGCGATGACAGCAGTTTTTCAATTAAACAGAAGAATCAAAACACACTGACACCTGTCATATTTCAAGATCTTGTATTTGATAAACTAAACAAGCCAAAAAAATATAACCAGAACCATCAATTAATTCAATGCTGGAAATATACTGGGTTTGAGGGTTTTTGTAAATTATGCCAACAATGATATCCAGAACTGAATTCAAAAGACTTGCATACACTGAACAATTAAATATGATCTCTTTGCATTCAACAAGTTATTCTGTATTTTACAGCAAGGTTTGCATTCAAGTCTCGAGACAAAAGGTTACACTAGAAATGAAGCCAGCTCCAGAAATGTATGACCAATTAGCCTTGCTTTCAGGATTTGATACAAAGCACTCGATTTGCCTCTATTTGCCATCTATTTTAAATGCCCAAAATGGGTTGTAATCATTAAGAAATTGATCCTCACGTGTAAAGTGAGAAACAGATAAACAATTAATATTTACTTGTATCAAATGTAAGTCGAACAGCACCATTGTTATCTCCTGCAAAAATCAACACAAGAGCTAGTTGAGCTTACAATATGCCCACAGCAAAATATCAATAAACTACTTCCCTAAGATGTCAACTAGCTTAACAAGAGACAGGAATCAAGTCCCATTGGATCAGAATGAAGGCATTGCTAGAGGACGAGGTTGACAAAATTAATGTGGGTTGAGATAATAAGACATGTTAACTTGTGGTTTTATCAAAATTATGGCCTTTGATTGAGTGGAATGATGAAACATGATACAAATGGCTAACAATATTTAGTGGGATAAGGCTTTGTTAAGTTAGTTGTATCACCATTTGACCAAAAATAAATAAATAAATAAATAATTGTAATAAAACTACTTTCCAGAAGAGGGGGGTTCGTTTGAGAAGCAAAAGTTGTTGAGAAATTGAAGCTCACAGGGAAGATAGGGCAAAAATAACACAGCTGACATGATTTCCAAATTATCCTTGGGAATTCTTTCCAGGGTTGTTAAGATTGCCGATCGCCTAATAATACCTCAGGGGGCAATGCCCAATGAATTCTATTAGATTTATATGATCAGCTTTGTCATAGTAAAATTGAACAAAATCACTGAAACCGAAGACTTTATAACGGAGACAGAAACTAAACTGAAAATGGGGGAACTTTTGAATATATGCAAATATCCCATATTCTTATGTTAAGGTGTGGGTTCAAAAGTGAAAAGGAAACAGACAATTACAAACTTCAATGGACATTTGTAACTTCTAAAATTAATCATTTAATTTAAATTCCCCCATTGAACATGACATGCATGCACTTTTCAAATAAAGCATGGTGATTTCGGCATCGCAATTTAAAATATGGGTGCATGCACTGGTGGTCACCTGAAGGAAACACACTCTCCCCCAACCACCTCCCCCCCGAGTGCAGATCCTCTCCTTGCAAGAGTTTATGAGCGTGCGTCCTTGCAACGGCTGAGATCAGCCGTTGCACATCCAACGGCTGAGATTAAAAAAAAAAACCCCCCCCCAAAAAAAATAAAATAAAATAAAAAAACACGATCCAATCCAAAGGATCCTATTAATTTACTAGTTTTTGCTCACGGATCCTAATTATTAAGAGCTGGACCCCAAACTTCTAGTATATTCATTATGACGCCCACATATATATTTATCCAATGAATTCCCTGCCCCCTTCCCCCGAAACTGAAAGCATCCTGCATCTGCCATTGTCAGTGGATGCAAAAACAGCTAAAGAAGTTCCCAGTACAGTAAGGTGCAGTATCAAGTAAGGTATATGATTTGTTTGACTTTGCAATGCAATAAGATGAAAACTAAAGGAAACTTCATACATATCATACCTTGTATCTATGCGTAATCAACCACCTGAAGTTCACTACAAGTGTCCCTTTGGCTTCTTATCACCCTTGCTTTCGTGTCTCTTATTTCTAGAACCTGGTGGACAAAGGTAAAATTTTTAAAGCTCTTTACCTTGAGAGCTAATTCTAATGAATTAACATTAAATTGAAGCTTAAAGAAACGAGATTCAGAAGAGCTCCTAAAGGGGTTAAAGCAAGCTCAAATCAAAAATATTTCGAGTTGAACCACCTAAAACAATTTACCTCTGGTTGTGAATTAAGAACCCCACTAGACATGCCGACATCAATGCGCCACACGCTACAATTGTATGTACTGCAGGAACAAGACAAACACACAATAAGTTTGTCAAAATATCAAAGCAAGCCCTCAATGTAAAGGCTGGATATGCCACTAATGCTCTGTTTGTTTTGTTGGAAACATTTTCCACTTTTTTGGCATTTGGTACAACGAAAATGAAAGTACGGAAAACAGTTTCCGTGGTCAAGGAAAAACAAGCTTATTTGAGTGAAAAATGTTTTCCACTTTTGACAGGAGGAATACATTTTCTGAAGTAAAGTTTTACCAAATGCCCACCACCACGTTGCCCACCAACACCACTACCCCATTACCACTGCCACCACCTCATCACCACCACCACTCACTTTAGTTTCAAGATTGCAACCAACCATAGGAAAATGTTTTCTTTGGAAAATATTTTTGGAAAAAGTTTTCCATAAAAAATATTTTATGTTGGAAAATGTTTTCCACCAAAATAAATGGAGCTTAAATTAGAAAGTATTTACTACTTTGCAGACTTAGACTATAAGATGTCATGGTAGCTGTAGTTTCACTAAAATAAAACGCCCAGGAAGTGATTAAGGTCCCATACCAATTGACTCCTGTAGTTTGAGGAGTATGCCCCACCACCATTGCCTTAGCACCTAATGCTTGCACTGTCTCCTCAAGAATGGATTGAATCTGATAAGCAGAAAGATATAAATCCAACAGTCAGATAGTTTTACCAAAATAATTAGAACATCAAACTTGGTTCAATATAAATAAAATGAAATAAAATATAAATAAACTAATCAAGTAATCAACTGAATAAAAAGGGGGGAAAAAAATAATGATAACAAGAGATGATATAATTCCAAAACTAGTGCAGTTTCCTTACTATTTTAGAGAGAGAGAGAGAGAGAGAGAGAGAGAGAGAGAGAGAGAGTAATTTATTTAGCCAAAAAACCTCGTAAGCACAGAAATCTGACACACTCAGCCAAATCAACAGCAGAGGTGCTAATAATTGCGATAATGTAAATCCAGTTTCTATAATACCTTCATAATTTCACCAAGTTGATTTGCCCACAGGTTAAACCTGTCTTATTTTTGGAATATAGCAACATGAAATAAAATAAAGATGTAGAGATTTAAGTAATTGAACTTGCCTGATTAATCTGATGTCCATTTAGATCAGATATGTCTCTTGAGTACAAACGATTCCAAACAACACTATCATAGCCCCTAGTGGCTATAAAAGGGATTTGTGGACTACCGTCTCTCTCACTGAGGCCACCCATCCAATTAGATACTTCCCTATTCATCCTCTCTATACCATAGGCAACTGGACAATTACAAATAATCATATCAGAAATTTCAAACCAAACAAGATAAAACTCTTAAATAACTCATAATATTGAAAGAGCAATACATCCAAATGGTAGTACAATTTTTACCATGATGAGGAAGAAGGCCACCATGACAGAAGACCCAATCATCAACTTTAAGAACAACAGCATGTCGTGCCAACTCACATGCCAGCGGACCCCCAGGTCTTAGCAGAGTAGATCTGGCAATCACCCCCTGTTGCCGCTGTCCTAATAGTGGGATGAGTATATCAGAATGATTATCGAGAAATCAAAACCGGAAAGAGAATAGGAACTGTTTTTATCTCCTAAATTGCTTATTGAACCATTGGTGGTGCAAATACAATATGAGGCAAACCATCCAAAGTTGATCATTTAATTACTTGGACGGGGTGACATCATTGTCATCACAGATGTAACACAGTAGCAATTGGAAAACAAGCAGTAGAGTCATACAATTGTGAGAATAGTATAATTTAATAAATATACCTTCACTAGATTCCAAGGCCCCCAACGATTTTGGGACATTTTCTGATCTTTCATCCTCTCAGACACACCAACCCAACCAACAAAAGCTTCTTCCCAATTATGTTCACAGTCATTTAAGTACTCCAAGAAGTCCAGACACTCATCAAATCCCCCAGAATCAACATATCTAAAATCCCCCTCTACATTCATGGTCTCATGGTTTCCATTGACCTATAATCATCAAACAATAGAACAATCCTGTCACTTACATCAACCAGTAAAATACAACTCCCTCCGCCCATTTTATTTGTCTATTATTCTATTTTTTGTTGTCCCAAAATGTAAGTCCACTTTGAAAAGTCAAAACTTTAAATTTAAATTTTTCCAAAATTGCCCCCTGTAAATAATTATAAATATATTTTAAAATGATAATAAAAGGGTATTTTGGGAATTAATGCTTTAAAATTTGAATTTAAATGTAATGATTGCATGTCTCCTTAAAAAGTTAGAATTTTCAAAAAAGGACTATAAAAATGGGACAGAGGGAGTATTAATAGAATTTTCAAAAAAGGACTATAAAAATGGGACAGAGGGAGTATTAATTAAAGTTGGAAGTTTCAGAAATGATTTCTTGTTATGTTGAATTTAATCAAAAACAAAAACACAAAGCAGGAGATATTAATATCCTGTAGTGAAAAACGTGGCTTTTATAGTAGCCATTTGCAAAATCCACAATATGCGCAGTGCTACCGATACAAAACAATTTATTTTGATATAATTGTTATATACTCGGTGATAAAAGCTGCATATGCAGGATGACTTTGGCAGCAAATATTTCTACAACAATCACAAAGTTTTCAATTTCTACAGATACAAACCTGGAAAACAGCTCCACCATTAGCTTTTGCCTGAATATTCAATGAACGCAACAAGGATAAGATAGCTATTTCATCTTCACCTCGATCAAATACATCTCCAAGCTGAATCAATACCTAGACCACAAAGACACATATCTATTACTTCAAAAGTGGCATCATCCAGAGTAATAACAAGTTTATAACAATCTTTAACACAATAAGGTACATTTGCATGAAGTCTACTTTGAACTATGGAATTTGACATGGTTTTTCACATTATGTAAATAAAGTAATACCGTCTCTCCACCAGTCCACAAATCTCGTCCATCAGAACTCAGGACACCAGCCATCTCAAGTGCACATCTTGCCTTGGCTAGATCCCCATGCAGATCCCCAACTAAACATTCAACCCATACAAGAGCACATTAAGAAAATTTAAACAAGAAGAGAAGGGGGGGGGGGGGGGGGGGGTTGTTTGTAAACGGAGATATCAGTTGTTAAAATTGTACTATCTGTTATTCTTAATTTCTTGCAAGGAAGCTGAAAAAAAAATAATCATTTAGAACAGACATCCTATTGAAATTTGCACAAGGCCAATCCAACATTTTGCAAAAAATTTGCCACAGACCTATGAAATCAATCCATATGGAAAAAATAATATTTCATAAGGAAACATATACATTGCACGCAGTTAGCAAATGCACACCAAAAGTGAAATGCGAGGCAAATATCACCCACAGACAGCAAGCAGAAAATCTAGTTCTAGGAAAATCATAATTAAGGTCAGGTCCCAAAATCCCAGTCCCTATTGGGACATGAAAATCTTGAGGCACCATCATGCATCCAAGAATGCATTCGGGGTAGGGCTTTTTGAACATAGGATCCTATGCCCATAATTAACACTAGGTTAAAAGTATAACTATCTTGCTCACAATTATCTTTCTACTAACTAACCATGTCACTCAACAACAACAGTAACAATAAAAGAATGAAGGAAAAAATGGAGAGAAAGAAGGGAAGTATTGGTAACCTACGAGTATCTCCAAATTCCAATCCTTGACTCAAATCTATATCAAATTTAAATTTGAGTAAAAATCACTCAAAACACCCGCCATTCCTTGACCCAAACTTGCACCAAATTGAGTTTTAGGGTCCATTTGGATAGATGTGGATTTTAAATCGAGGAATTTGACCTTAATCATTCAAGAACAATAACTCAAATTTAGATATCATACCTCACTTACGAATTACAAGATTTGAGTTAAATAGCTTCATCATAGTGGATTTGAAATCACTACATAAAACTAATTATTTGAAATCAAGCTAAGGATTCTCTTTCTAGCTATAAGGATCATACTAAAATGTATATATCTTCTATCTCAAGTTATCTTGTTCCATTGTTTTTCTATCCATTCAACCTCAAATCCCATGATTTGAAATCCACAATCATCCAAACAGACCCTTAGTTTTTTACCCAAATCAAGGGATTCAAATCCTTCCATCAAATCTGCAAGATTATTTTGTGACTCTCAAATTTACCACTTAGCCATTAGTAGAAGAATGCTTAAATCTGAGTTTGTCCACTCCACTGGAGTGATTGCTATGAAATAACTAACTAATATCAAATGTTTATGAATCCAATTTTAAAGAACAAGAAACCATACAACACAAATGCAAACTAATAAAAAAAAATTAAATTAAATTAAATGAGCAGAAATATAGAGAGAAGAGAAGGAAAGGAATGGGTATATCTAAGCGAAAGAAACAAGTATAACAATTGGGAATTCACACCAAATAAGAGTAACAAACCGGCAACAATACGGCGGCCAGGGGCGGAGACGAAGGTGGGAGGGTTTCCACAGACTAGTATGGGCTTTAAGGCACCGCCGATGTGAGGAGCCAAAGAAGAAGAAGAAGAAGAAGAAGGGTCAGTGAGTTTGCGAGGATGCGATGGGGGCTGAATGGGCAATGAGTTTAGAGACATCGAAGCCATCGATTGCATTGCAGCAGAACAGCCACACCTACACGCACATCCACTGCCACAGCCACAGCCACAGCCACAGCCTCAGTTCATCACCTCTTTCCTCTTCTAAAATTTGTTTTTGTAAAAGAAGAGAAGGGAGGGACTGGGATTATTTTAGTAACCTCAGCCACGAATTTGGCATATTCTTTTTTACAGCCTTTTTTTTCTCGCTTCATTTTGTCCAATTGTTGCACTAGTAGGCGCTTAACGTGTTTTATCATTGTATAACAAGTTTGGTCATTTTAGCCGTAGTTTGTAACATTCTAAATAAGTATATTTTTTTTATTATTTATAAAAAGATATGTAGTAAAATAAAAATATAATGTGTTTTAAAAAGGATAAAAAATAAAAAAATGTACTTATATGATATATGCCAAACCAAGCTAATTAATTTTGCTTTTTATTGTTGATTTGATGATTATAAAAAAATTAAATGATTATGAATTTAATATAATATTTTATTTTATTAATTATTTTAATTTATTTTATCATTTAGTTAACTATTTTAATCCATCCTCTGTTCAAATAAGACTTTAAAATCCTAAATCTTTAAATCTTAAATTGTTTAGTTTTTATTTTTTAATCTGATTAATGACGCTTTAAGATTATATTATTAATAAAATATAGAATGTCAAAATATTTATAATTTTGATATGTATATTTTTATATATTTTAATAGGTTTTTATATACGTTTACATATATTTTCAACATCAAGAATAGTTTTGAGAGATGTTTTAGTAATTTCTTTTTATTATTATTATTTTTTTTGTCCCTAATAATTTTTGGGTGGTTGATCCATAAATTCCAAATGGTGGAATTGTGGACTAGTTAGTCCCATGTTTTATTTAGGTCTCGTTTGGGAACCATTCATTTTAGTCAAAAAGTCAAAAAGTTGCTAAATTAGCCAAAAAGTCAACAACTCATACCAAAAAGTCAAATATTCTATTTTCTCTCTACTTTTTGCACATCTTTTCGTAAAAAGTCAAAAAATCATCCCAAACATACTAGTTTTTTTTAGCTCATATTTTAGCCAAGTAGCCAAAGAGTTACTAAATTAGCTTGTTCCCAAACGAGGCCTTAATATACACAGAAGTTCTATCATAGGAGAAGTAACTCTTTTGCCTATTGTATATGTTATTTATGATAGATTATTCTAATTTTATATTTGTCAATTATGCCTCCGTTTGGGAAGTGAGTTGATTTTTTGACTTTTTTAGCTATTTTAGCCTGGGCTCAAAAGCTTAGTTTGGGAAGGACTTTTTGACTTTTTGATTTTTTTGACTTTTGTTGTAAGAGAAGAATGTAATGATTATGAATTGGATGTGATGTTTTATTTTTTATGGCTAAAATAGCCTATTTTGTCTTTTATGGCTAAAATAGCCAAAAAAAACCCGAAAAAATCCTTCCCAAACGAACCCTATGTTATGTTTGGAAAAAATTTACTATAGTCTTTTTTTTTTTTTTTTAGTTTATCACAATTATTTGGGTGACCACATTCTAATGGGACCCACATCAAACGGATGTACCTTCCACCAAATTAAAGAAAATGACTCACATTCTGGTTCGGATCCAAATATAACCACCAGAAAAGCATACTAAAAGGTTTTTGTACTATGCCATATCAACTCAAACATTCCACATTCGATTCTTTTCACTTGATGACTTTTTTGTTTGTATATGTAAGTTGTAGTCTATAAATTGGATTTGAAACCAACGGAATATACAATGTAAATTCTCTTTATCTTTGTGCTTCCAACTTCATCTTCTCCGTCATAATTCCATACTCTATAACTCCATCATAATTTTATAATAAAAATAGTAAAAAGCTCATTTCCTATTTTGTTTTTGTAATTTGTATCAGAGCTTGGTGAAGAGCTTTTGAAAGTAAAATTAAGCTATGCAAGTATTTCTCTCTAAGTCTAAATTTGTGATATATATAAATGTGTATGGTGTGCTTTATGTTATAAAAAAATAAAAATTTAAAAAAAATAATTTGCGTCAAGTTTAGTCTTTAATTGTGTATCATTTGTATTTTATATCTTCATAATTATTTGTTTTATTTATAGTTGTTGTAAAACCTATATGCTTAGTGTATGTCAAAGCACTCTGTAAGATCTTTTGACTATTGGCCATAATTAAGTCTTTAAGATCATAAAGAGGGTTTTAGGCACAAGATAACACACTATGAGGGTCTTAGGTACCAACAACAATCTATAATGGCAATTAATTCTAATGATATAATATGTTTTGAAAATACAAAAAATAATGTTAATAATAAAAATGACCATAGTTTGCATATTACTAAAGAGTCTGCAAATGTAAATAGTGTGTGTTCTAGTGTAAATAATATTACGGGTGTTATGTGTTATTGGTTTTCTAAATTAGATAAAAATCAAAAAAAAAAAATCAAAATTATCTAGAAACCAAAGTTGAGTCTATAGAATATAAAATAGACAATTTGGGTTCTATAATAAATATTGACTTAAATAAAGAAGCAAAAAATCAAATAAACAATTTAGTGACAAAATTAGAAACTATATCATTCATAAACAATGATGGAATAAATAGTCCAGGAGATAATTACATTCCTAGACTATTTTATGGTACAGAAGATATTATGGTACTTCAAACCAATACCTATATTAGGACTGATATGAAAATATTGTTGAAATATTTGATTATTGGAGAAAATTATAAAAGACCCAAATTTAGGTATTGATGAAAGAAATAGGCTACTAGATCAGATAAGAGAAACTTATCTAGAACAAGACGCCCTTTTACAGCACTTTAATTATGATATTAATATGCCAACTAATGATTATGACAACCAATCATTCTCATCTGAAAAAACATTAGATCAAGATATTTCACCAAAAATAAACAAAGGGAAAAGAAAGGCAAGAGAACCAATTGATCCCGAATTATTTGGCACATGAAGAGATGGAAAATTTTTTGACTTTATTCAAACAAATGAAATTGAAAATGATACTGACTCTAGAAGTACCTCCAATCCTACACCTGAGCCAGTAATATCTAAAAAGAATAATAATCATAAATATCCAATAGGTCAAAATGGTATTTATTTAGACTTGTCTCATATTCCATTTAAAGATTAGGAACAAGCAATTGATGATTGGGCACAATCCTTGTCCATCATTATTACCAATTATAAAAATAGTTGCTCAAAGGAAAAATTCTTTGATTATATTACAGCAACTCTCTAGGGAGATGTGTTGCAATGGTTAAGACAGTGGAAAAAATTTGAAATTGAAAAAAGTCAAAAAACGGCTTTGTTAACAAATTTTCTAAAACGTGACACAATTTTAGCTAAATTTAGCAAAAATCATAAAAGAAAATTTATATGGTTTTGCAGGAGATACTAATTTGCAAGCAGATACAAATTATATTTTAACTAAATTAGAACTATGTAATATTTGTCTATTTGAAGATTATGTTCAAACTTTTAAAAAATATTATTATCTTATTGATTCACCAACAAATCAACCCTGACTAGATCAATTTTTTCATAAACTCCCTAATCTATGGAATGAGTTATGTATTAAAACATATCTTGTTTTTCTCAAAAAAATATGGGAAGAAGAATATGATAATCTTAGTTTTCGCATTAATTATGTTCTAAAACTGATAGCAGATCGGTGTCTAAAAGCAAAGGCAAAAAAATAAATAAAAAATCAAATTTCTAACTCACAATATGGTAAAAAATATTGTGATAAAATTTTAAAAGAAAATTGAAAAATTGGTTGTAATACATTTTCAAAACGAAAAGGATTTTCCAAAAAACGCAAAAAATATAAATGGAAATCTTGGAAAAAGAACAAAACTTTTTCAAAAAAGAAAAAGTATATTCGAAAAAAAAGAAGCAACAAGTGTTTCAAAAAAGAAAACTTGTAAATGTTATATTTGTAACAAAGAAGGTCACTATTGTAGACGTCCCCGAACATCCCGGGAGAAATTCCGTTTTATTCATTGGGGCTTACTACAGTTTGGACTCAATGTCACGGTCATGTATTTAATCTCGCGGAGTGCAATGCAAGACCGATGAATCATCAAAGAGTCCAAATCCGGCAAATCATTTTGAAAAACTAATTTTTAGAAAGAAGTGCCAAACATGGACTACTTTACCAGATACAGAGTCGCCACCTAAATATTTTATTTTGAGGAAATTTAGGAAACCCTAACTCATGCCTAAGGCCACGTGTCTGTCATCACCAAAGTTGCCTCGGTTCGGGAACTTGGGTACGATTGGGGAAGGTTGTTATCCCAGATAGGCAACCCAAGAGATGAGTGAATTGGGTTACTAAAAATTTCACAATATTAAAATTAACATAATATTCAGAATTCTAATAAATAAAAAAAACAGAATAATAATTATCAATATCAAAGTAAGAGAGATAGGGAGAGAAAATCAAACACTGCGATTTATAGTGGTTCCGCACGCCAGGTCTACGTCCACTCCCCAAGGAACCTCCTTGAGAATTTCTTTACTATTAATTGAATAAATATACCACCAAACTTGTGGATTTGGCACAGGACTTACTCTTATCTATTGAGCCTCACTCAACAATAAATGCCTACCCTTACAAAATCTCTCACAAAAATAAGGAATAAAAATAAGTGGTACTTAAACCCTCTTTTACAATAATTCTCTCACAAAGAGTAGTTATGAAAGTGTAAGAACAAATGCTAGACTTAGATCTGAAAGTGAAAGAGCAGAATACAATATACTCAGAATTTTGGAGCTCATAGAAAATTTTCTCTTCAAGTTCTTGATTTTTCTCCACACACAACACTTCTATTTTTACACAAAAATATACCCGTTAGACGCTCATTGCTGACGTCATGGCTTACTTAAGCACGCTCCTTGCTGACGTCATGGATGAAATTAGTTTGGAAGAGAATCACGTGTAAGAACATTTGCACTCTTGCAAATTTGAACATCTTTAGGTATTAGTCAAAAGTGTAAAAAAAAGAAAAAGAAAAAGAAAAATTAATTTGAATTATATCTTGTATGACTTTCCACATGCTAATAATTAATGTTTTCATATGCTAATATTCAATGTTTCTACACACTAATATATATGATACAATTAATGTT